GAGGAAGAGCCAGAAAGATTACCACTCCCTTCTCCTTCGACACTAGCAACCCCACAGTCCCTCTCGTCGCCACCTTCTGGATTTGGTCCTGCTCCTCGTGCTCCCCCGCCTGAACCCAACTCTGCTCCTAGGTTTCCTAAGTGCTGCTGCTGTTCTCCACTTCTGGCTGCCACAGCTGTATCAGTGTGCTGCTGATGGAGACCAGTTTGATTCACAGATGAAAGAGAGTGAGTGGTGATGAGAGTGGTGCTGGCAGAGAACGAGGAAGCTGAAGTAACGGACGAATGTAGTGGAAGGCTGTCGCTAGCCGAAGTTGATGTCCCACCCTGCACCAGGGCAGGCCAGGCGGAGGGGTTCACGTTGGGGTTGAAATTGGCACCAGGGACACTACTGCTGCCACCCACAGGGCTCTCCTGGGGCCCAGGAAGAAGATGGGAGACTTTGGAATTGTAAAATGCTGCTGATCCTAGCCCTGCCTCCACCTGTGAGGAGGTGGAAGAGCCCCACACACCACCACTGGACTGAACACATTCATTAAGCGAGGAAGAGGAGGAAATAGGAGAAGAACGAGGCGAGGAAGGATTGTCCATGTTCCCTGCTCCTCCTCCTCCTACCGCTCCTCCCTTCTGCTGGATGTTTCTCTCACTCCATGAGGCACTACTGTTGTTGTTGTTACCAGGGCAGTCTTGCTCCTGCACTCCTCCTCCAGCCACGTCAGAACTCAATTTGGCCCCGCCTAGGATGCTAGGCCAATCCCCCAGGTCAGTCCCATCCACAATCACCTTCCCGCAGCCCTGAGAAGAGGACGGGCTGCCAGAGCCTGCCCCCCATGTGGAATTTGCATAAGTTGAAGTAGTAGTAGAAGAAGACGACAGAGCAGCGACACATAATGAGGATGAAGAGGAGTTGGGGGGTGAAGCGGAGGATGAACCCAGGTTGGAATCTATATAGACAAAATTGAGATCATTCATTTAAATAACAAGTTAAGCATTAACAATACTAATGACTTGCAGACCGGACCAATACAGTGCAGTACAGTGAAGGCATATTATAGTTATCAACTTTACAACTACAATTATGATTTATTTATGATTTTATTATATTGTTAACTGGATGGTATGCTTTTGTAAGTGGTGGTGTTAATAAACTAAAGAAAGTTTCTGGACAGTTGCTAAGATTGCTTAGTGGCACGTGTTACTCAGTGGAGTACATATCAAACCTGACAGCTTTTTTTTGTTCTGAGACGTCAACCCACCTGTGCCTCCAGCTGTGTTTGCATTGGGACTATCTGCTCCCTGTGAGGAAAGAGGTGCGGCGGCTACCCAGCCACTCCCACCTCCAACCCCCCCTGCAGCCCCTTCCCCTCCTCCTCCCCCCAGCAGCATGGAGGACAGCGGTGGCTGGCCCCTCTTCAGTAGCACTTTATGGTCCTGCTGGCAGCGAAATCTTGGTGGAACCTCTCTGGACATGTATCGCTGCTGCTGGGAGGTCTGGCTTCCAGAGGGGGAGGAGGAGGGCTGTCCGTTGGCCACAGCAGTCCGCTGCTTTGCATTGTTCCCGCCACCAGGAGGAACTTGTGCAGAAACCCCGGCTGCACCAGGACTGGGGGATGAGGGAGCAACAGGGCCAGGGCTGGGGGACACTGAGCCTGGGGTGGCGTGCGGCTGGGAGCAGGAGGGCTTGGCTGATTCTGGCACTGAAATATACAAATAATGAAGGCTGTGAATCACTGGAAGTAGGATAAAAAGAGAGACTTTTAACAGGTAACAGTTACAGAAAATGTAGTAGCATCAAAAGTGTGTGTGTTATTCCCTAGGCCTAGACAATACATTCAAATGAGTTATTGTAAGAACAAGGTGCTGCTAATTAAAGTACATTTAACAACGAGACATACACATCAATCCACTGACATTATCATCTAGACTAGTGAATGATAAAAGGAAGAGGAGGGTGATGATGACAAAAACAAACACATACCTTTGATTTTCTGTTCTGGCACCTAAAGTAGAAATAATAAATGAGTCAGAATCAAAGCAGAAGAGAATTTTCTGGTGACAACTTGAAAAGGAAACAAGAAAAGGTTTTGTTTGACATCACTAAAGAAATACATCCATGTAGAATCTTAGTAGGCTTTAGTTTTGCTACTGCAACTGAGAAATATACTGGCAGCCACCGTTTAAGCAAACATAAAAACATGACACTGAGTATTCATTTTGTAAATTCTTCCCAAAAACCTCAGTTACCTAATGAAATAATGAAAATGTCTAAGTCATTTTGAAATGTATGAAGGAATTTTTGGTGACACGGTTTACCTTCTGAGAGGTTTCCCTTTTCTTTTTATCTTCTTTCTTCTTTTTCTTGTCTTCCATGAACTACTG